TGTTTCACCCAATCTGAGTTGGCTGAGGACCGGGAGGCCTGACATGGGTCATGTCTCCCTGACTACCTCACAGGGACAGCAGTCCCTAGCACTCCCTGAGGGCTTTTTCCCTGGCTCCCCAGGCCCAACAGCCCTGCAGATCAGAGAAGGGGGGACATGGGGTGGAGTGAGGAGGAGAAGCTGGAGCCAAAGGAACCCCCTCCTTGGAAGGAAAGCAGCAAGGAGAGAGATGGACATGAGGGGAAGACATGAAAAATATTTTGGGGTCAGTGACTTTTTCTTTTGCACCATAATTGTTTAAACATTACCTTCTGAGCTAAGAGCTCCTAGGTACAGGGGGACTTAGCTCCTTTGTGGCCAGGGTTGGTTGATAGGGTCTTAGATTTTCATTTGTGTGTGTGTGTGTGTGTGTGTGTGTGTGTGTGTTTTGAAACAGACTCGATATATAGTTCAAACTGGCCTTGAACTCATATAGCCCATTCCGGCACAGAACTCAAGTCTATCCTGCCTCAGCCTCCTGAGTTTGGGGATTACAGGAGTGGGTACAGGCGTGCACCCCATGCCTGCCAGAAAGGGTATTTGAGGAGGCCTGAAGCCCACACTCCCTGCTCGGCTTCAGCTCCTACCTCTAAGTTCTAATCAGGGTTCCATCACATCCCTGATTTGTCCCCTCCCAGACCAGAGGAAGCCTGCAAAGTAAAGAGTGACTGTAGGTGAGGTGGGGGTGGGGACCGCGGTAGCTGCTTTTGGGAAGGAAGAGGCTTCATTGCCCCTGAGGACAGAGTGGAAAGATTTGCCACCACTCCAATGAGAGGAATTGAGATTGGACTCCAGGCACAACCAGAAATCGGTGCTAGGGTGGGGGTGGGAGGACAGATCAGGAGGAGCCGCCGGGGCCCCTCAGAAGTTGGAAGTCACAGCCGGGCTTCTCTGGCTTCTCCCGCTGTTCCCCTCTCTCCCCTCATCCCTTACAAGTGCTGGGGATGTCCTTGATCTCCAGGGCCCCGGTCTACACAGGCCTCAGCTACCCGAATAACATTCCACTGACTCTGGATTCGATCCCAGAGGCAAGTCCAGGCATTCAAACTCAAATGAGGCCGGGAGCTGAGTAATCGGCGGCTATGGCTATGCAGACATTTTGTCGGGAACAAGCACTCCCCGCCCCCACCCCGCACCGCGCGTTGGGGATGGAGGAGGGGCAGCCTGTCACTCTGTCTTCCCACCCCCTCCCTCTTCCCACCTGCAAGTAATTTGGCCAATGGAAGGGCAGCTCTGATTGCAGTGTGGAATCCTTCTCGATCTGCGTGCATTTGGTGAGGAACCCACCCACCCCAGACCCCATGTAACCTTTTCCTCTTCACAGAAGCAAATTACTTATAATTATCTCACATTGAAGGCCTTTGGGAGCTGCTTCCAAAATTGCTTTAATTGAATTAATTGAATCTCATTTCGTTGGAGGAGAGAATGGGGGTCCTGCCTTAAAATAGTATATGGGGAGAGGAGGCAGTGACCCAGAGGGAGGGGAGGGGAAGCCCCCACCCCCATCAGCTTTGCCCAGGCAGAGACCACATAGGTGACAGCACAAAGGTGCCCTGGACATTCTCAGACCCGTGTCAGCTGACAGCAGATGCGCAGGGCCTTCTGTGTTTGGACCTTGCCGTGCCCTGCTCTCAAGTAGTGGTGGCTGGTGACAGGGACACGTGGAGCCCCACCCGCCTCCCCACCCTGGGAGGGAGGCGGGTCTGCCAGAGGCCAAGGGTGACCGATGGCAGGGTGAAGGCCCCTCCCCAATAATCATCACAGCGGCTATAAATGCCATTTATTAAGCGCTTACTGTGTTCCAGGCACCGTGTCAAGCCTGATACAAACACTATCTCATTTCGCCATCACAACCACACCAGGAAACACGGCCTATTAGTATTCCCGTCGCGGCGGGAAGCAGGGCCCAGAGAGCAGGGCGGAAACTTGCCACAAGTCACCCGGCTCCACAGTGGCAGAGCTGGAACTCTGTGGAGACCAAAGTCCCCACTCAGTTTTATTCTCCTTTCTTTTTTTTTTTTAAATAGTGTTTTGAAACACAAGTTCCCACTGTGTAATTCAGGCTCACCCTGAACTCACTATATAGCCCAGACTGGCCTCAAAATTTAGGTGATCCTCCTGTCTCAGCCTCCTAAGTGCTGGGGTTACAGGTATGCACCACTACGCCTGGCTCCTTCCTTTTATTGACCCAAAGTCCCCAGTGGGGCTTCCTTCTAGGCAGGACTGCCCTTCTATAGTCCTGATGGCTCGAGAGAACAGAATGGGGTGCCTCTCCCCAGGTGGTCTGGGAATACATCACCACCCAGAAGTCCCCAGTAGTGGGACCTGCTCCCAAGTGGAAAGAGATCCGCATTTCCCCTGGAAGGGCAGGTAGATGCGGAGAGGAAGGGGTGCTGTCAGCTCAGCTGGCCGCTGGCTGGGAGAGCAATTACGCTCCTTCTGCTACTTAACTTTACAACCAGGCTGTTGTTTTAACGATGTGACGGGAGTTGGGCTGTCCAATTAATCTGCCTTTGGAGGCTTTCCGAGATGGGTGGTAGATCTTATCTGGGCTCTGTGGAAAGAGGAGTGTGCAACCTGCGGTGGAGGAATGGCCGCCCCAGGGCCTGTGGCCTCAGAGAAGACCCAGGGCAGGCATCTAGGGCCGGGCCACCCCTGAGCCGCCAGCCCCATTCTCCAAGGGCCAGAGAAAGACGCTGGAAGGAAGGAGGCAAGGTGGCAGGTGCGTCTCCTGGGGCTCCCCCTTGCCTCGCTGCTCCTGGGCCTCTGCTTTCACCCACCCTGTGCCGTCTGCCACCGCAAAACTCCTCCATGCGTGTTTTGGGGAGCAAGGGAGGTCACTGACCCAGAAGGAAGGACTGCTTGCAGGCAGGCCAAGAGTGTCTATGGAAGGACAGCCCCTCTGCCTGGCATTTGGACACCTGACCCCAGGGTGGCTTCTTGCGGGCACTGAGTGTGCTGGGCAGGCCTTAGTGGGCTTTACAGCCTGGGCCGCCCCAGACCCTCGGTTGCAGTGCCTGGAACAGGTTCAGGCAGGAAGAGGGAAGCTGGATTTGAGAGCCTTTTGCCTGGAATTGGAGGCCCCTCCCCAGCCCCCAAGGCCATGCCTGGCTGGAGTCCCTGAATGATTTGCATGTCCTCAGCCCTCCTGACCCCTGCGCGGCATGTGCCAAGTGGCACAGTGACCAGGAGTCACCGCTGGGCCCCGCTGCTCCCCAGCCTTTGCACCAGGCACTGACCCCCAGCCAGGCTGGACCACAGCGCCTGGACAGTGTCCACACTGCCTTCTGGCCCACCCTTCATCTGGCACCTGTCGCATCGCCTTTGGTCACTCATCAGGCTTCCTGTTAACCTGACGGGTCTGCCTTGGTCACCATGGTATCCAAGATGCGTGTTGGATGGAGGAGGAGAATTCAGGTTCTGGTATTTCCTTTTTTTTTTTTTCCCCGGTACCAGGAATCAAACTCACAACCTCATGCTTGCCAGGCAGGTGCTGTGCCCCTGAGCTAAATCCCCAGCCCCTTGGTTCTGGTATTTTCCTCCCTTTTCCTTTCCCAAGGTGGACTGAGGCCATTCCATTCCCCAGGACACATTGCTCCAGGGGAGGCTGGGCTGGCCCAAGGGCGTGTCCTCTCCCAAGGTGAGCAGGCCTCCACCTAGGGTTGCAGGTGCAGAGTGGGGACTGAGGCACCTGGCGCCCTCCACAACTGGTCCAGGAGAGAATCGGCACGGAACGCTACTCGGGTCTTGCTCCTTCTCAGCGTGACTGTCTTCCGGTTTCCCCACTGGAGCACAGGAAGGCATGGATGTTATCAGAACACTGCAGAGTGGGAACCACAAGGCCAGCCAGGGACACGGAATCCAGTGCTTCCGGTCCCTAGCTCGGTGGAGGACAAGTTAGATGGGAGAGAAGGTATGAGTGACTCGCCTCGACCCTGGTGAGGTCAGGAGACAAACACATTTGGGAGATGGGTCCAGGTTTTGTACAAAGTTTAATGGCTAGGAGCTCAGGATGTGTGGAAGCGTCTGAGCTTGGGGGATGCCAGTTAGACTGGTTATGACTCTGAGCAGTTTCTCTGGACAGAGACAGGGTAAGAAGCTGAAGTCTCAGACCGACTCCAACTATTTGGGGGTGCTTATACCCACCCTCATCCAGAGACTGTGTTTGTCCCCATTTCCCCCATACTGTTAGCCTTCTGGGCTCCCAGGAATTTGCCTATGTGGGTTTGTTAAGTGTTACAGGCAGGGAGGAGGAAGGGAGGGGCTCTTATAAATATCTGTTGCATTTGAGGGTTTTTGTGCTATTTTGTCTGGGTGCTGGGGACTGAACCCAGGGCCTCCTGCCAAGCGCCTGCTCTGCCTCCGGGCTATACCCCTGTCGTGGAAGTAATGGCCGAGCACCAAGCGAATTCGATGGATGAGCAGCTGTGACCTGCTGGCAGCCAACTCAGAAGACTCTGGATGCCTTCTTCCACTTTTGCTCACGAATGGGTTGAGCAGGGTCCAAGGCACACAGAGAAAAAAATACACACGGTGTTTCCTCCTGGTTCTGACCCCAGGCTGCAGACAGCTGCAGTCCTGTGAAGGGGCACGGCTGTCCCCAGGCAGTCCTGCCCAGGATGCGGTCTCCAGCATCCCCTCCAGCGGAAGGGGCCAGTGATGAAGGCTGATCCCTTTTTTAGCTGTTGGAGTTAGGCGGACATAACTCTGTGCCTTTTTCTCTTCTAGCTCCTCATCCTGGACTTGGTTTCTTCTTGTCCCAGCAGGCGTGCAGGTGCTCCGGATCCTGGGCTCGGTGGAAAGGCCAGGGGCTGCCTGGCCCCAGTCTCACATCATCTGAGGCACAGCCAGCACATCTGGAGAGTGATGCTGATACCAGGCTCCAAAGCCGCTGCCATAGCCACTGGCGGGCAGGGCACCCGCCTTGGGCAGATCCCAGAGGGATGGAAGGGGTGGGGAGCTGGGCGATGGGGAGGGGGGTCTCCCGGGGAAGTCCCCTTCCTGCCCCCTGGAGTTCTGTTTCAGGAGCTTCTTGTACTTGGAGCGCTTGTTCTGAAACCAGATCTTTACCTTTGGGGAGAACAGGGGACAGAATGAAAGGTCAGGAGTATACGTGGGAGACAAAAGGACCCAGCTGTAGGCAGCAAGTTCCAGGAGAACAGCGCAGGTTGGGAAAGCTTGCTGCGGTCCTCCGTAGCCAAAGAAGTCCCCTGAGCTAGAACACATCTCCCGTTGTTGTCTGGGGTGCCCTCCTCTACTTGAACCCCCAGGCCCCCCTTCTAATACATTCCTCCAACCCTTGCTGAGGGCCAGCTATGGACCGTGGGCCTCAGGGCCAGGGTCCATAGCGACACCACCACTCACACCTTGGGGAGCGTTGCCAGAGCACAGGCGTGGCAAGGTCAATGCTCGGGAAGGTCGGGACCGGCCCCACCTGGGTCTGAGTGAGGCCAAGCTGCGCTGCTAGCTGCGCCCTCTCTGGTAGCGCTAGGTACTGCGTGTACTGGAAACGCTGGTTCAACCGCTGAAGCTGCAGGCTCGAGAAGATGGTCCTGGGCTTGCGCAGCTTCTTGGTGGAGATCTGGGGGTGGTTCTCCAAAGGTTCTGGGGACAACAGCAGATGCTCCAATTCTGGGGGCAGCATAAGGAGGTGTGTTTAGGGTAGGACAGTGGGTTCATAGCCTCATCTGCATCTGGCCTGCATGCCATGGAAGAATTGGCAGAATGTGCAGCCTGGCCCTTGCCTTTCTCTGCCTTTTCTTCCTTTCTTTTTTTTCTTTTCTTTTCTTTTCTTTTCTTTTCTTTTCTTTTCTTTTCTTTCTTTCTTTCTTTCTTTTTTTTTTTGAGCGCGTGTTTTGAGACGGTTTGGCTATGTAGTTCTGGCTAGCTTTGAACTCACTCCGTAGCCCAGGCTAGCCTCGAACTCTCAGCGATCCTCCTGCCTGAGGCTCTGGAGTGCTGGGACTACAGGCGTGCGCCACCACGCCCAGCTTTTCTCTACCTTTTCAACTTCCACTTTCGGGGTGCACCCAGTGATACAAGGCAGTTCCCGACCCCAGGGAGCTCCCAATTCGGGGTTCGGAGTGCAGAAAGTGGCAACGGTCGAGAGTAAGAGTACCCAGGGTCTGCTCAAGTGTGGCGGCTCAGTTTCGGGTAGGGCGGGGCAAAACTCTGGGCATTCCCAGCGCAGGGAACTGGAAGTCCACGTTCAGAGGCCAGCGTGTCCGCGTGGCACCTGAGCTTCAAATGCCAGCGTCAGAAGGTGAGAAGTGACCTCGGAATTTTCTCCCCCTTGCTCCCCACCAGATGGCTCAGGGAAGACATTTTCCTGGCCTCAGAAGCTAGATCAGTGGGGAGCGGTCCTGTCCTCAGGGGGGCCAGCGGGCCCAGGCACAGGGAGCTCCCGCGTGTGAGAGAGGGTGACTGGGATTGGGAAAGCAAATTGCGGGGTCACTCTGGCCGGCACTCAGAAATCTGGTCCCCTCCTTCTAGCCTCACTCTCCAGCACACCCCCGACAGGGACGTGGGGTCCTACGATGGGCGCCAAAGGTGGAGGGCACCGCCACCCGAGCCACTCTATTTGGACCGGTAGGCCGCCCCAGGCGGGCGAGGAGTTGGGTGGGTGAAGCAGCCGGAATATCTGCGGGCGTGGGGCAGCACTGACCGCGTTCTCCAAGGGTCCCCGCAGACCTCAGCCGAAAGAGCTCATGGCCAGGACCCAGGCGGGCTCCGGACTGCCCGCACTCCTACCCATCCCTCTAGTCGGGCTCACCCCACACTCACGCCAGGGTCCCGCCCTTGGCCAGCCGTGATCACCCCTCGCCTTCGCCTCCCCCGCACCCCTCGGGCGCTCCGGGTTTCTCAGATCCTCCCCCCACCATCGACCCCTGCCTCAGCCGATTCCCAGAAAAGCCCTTGGGTTTCCGCTCCCGCCCGCGTCTGTCCGGCCTCCCCTGCTCGGACCCCACTGTGAGCAGCCTCGGGCTGACAGCCGGGCGCCCACCCGCGCTTCTCTGGCTGCGCGGAGCGCGCAATTCCAGCGGTGACGCACGGAACCGCGGAGACACCCCGGCTGCTGAACTCTCCGAGCCGCTGCGCCCCAAACTCAGGGCAGACCTCTTCCCAAGTTCCTTCTGGGACAGCCTTTTCTGCACGCCAGTTACAGCAAGTTACAACTGGATCAGCTCTGGTCGCGATAACGGAGCCTTAGGGCCTCCCTCTAGGCGCCGCCGCACCCACCGGCTCCCAGGGGTTTTGGCCAAACCCCGTCCCTCAGGCAGAGGTGAACTCCAATCCCTCTCACACCCCAATCGCTCATTCTAGTGTGGGCTCACCGACCCAGTTCCGATACAGAAATGCTACCGACTCTTAAGGTCGCCAGCGCCTGTGTCTTTTCGTTGGATCCGGGGAAACTGTAAAGAAAAGGAATCTTCAGGAGGGAGACCTTAGACAGACAGAGGGAGGCACGGACTGGTGAGGACAGGCCGGCAGACACCCACCCCATCGCCAACAGTTCTCCCAAGGGAAAACCAGATTCTTCCTACGCTGAACCTTAAACGAGTCCCCAAACACACGCAGTCACACCCAATTAGCACATACTTAAGGAGTCCAAAGGGTTCACTTATAGGACAGCCCCCAACTGCCTCTGCTTCAAACAGAACCAGAAGTCTGGGAGAGGTAGCCCCAGTTTTGCCAGGGAAGTTTGGAGTTTTTCAGGGGGTTTGGAGAAAATTCCCTAAAATCTTCTTTCCTGTCCCCACGCAGTGAAAGCGCATCTGCAAGGGCCAAGCGCCTGGGGAAACAGGCACACCCTTCCTTCGTGCCTCAGTTCGCCCATTGGTAAATCAAGGAGGTTGCACTCCCAGCATCTGCACTCACTTTTGGCTCTGGTGGTTCATGAATTGATCTGTCAGAGGCGCAGAGACTGCAGCAGCGTCCCTGGGTGGATGTGTGCCCTGCAGGAGACTGCATGGAAAACAAAGGTGGGGCACTGAGGTAGGAGGAGGGAGTGCAGAGGACCTGGGGTTGAAGCAGAGCCGGCGATCCAGCTGGGTGTAGGACAGGGCACTGGCCCTGCAAAGGCACAGCGAAGAGCCAGCAAGGCCGGCCAGCTCCTTCGCTCCACTGAGGCCTTGCAAAGAGCATTTCTCAGGGGCTCAAAGTTCTTCAGGCAACTGGTGCCCAGCCTACCACCAAATCAAGAGTAGAGCGGCTGGGCATGGCCCATTCCTTTGATGGAAGGCTCAGGTGGCTGGGGAAAGATTAGAGACTATGGGACCGGCCAGGCCTGTAGCTCTATTCTTTGAACAATGGGTGGCAGGTCCTATTCCCAGACTCAGCCAGACCAACTTCCTGTCAAAGTCAGGCACGGTCTGGGGAAAGGGGGTGGGGCCCGGGAAGGAGATGAAAGAGCCCCGCCTGGATGTCTACAGCCCTCCAGCAGAGACCTGATTTCTACTGAGCAGGGTTTGGCCTGACCACTACTTTTTGAGACCAGACGAACTGGGAGAGGGGCGACACGGGGAAGGGAGACAGCGCGGGACGGCAAGAACCACGAGGAAGGGCAGGGCCCCCACCCCACATCTGGATTGATGCAGTTTTCCGTTACACGTAGGTACACACAACTCTGCTGCTCCAAGAGGGTGGGGTAGGGAGCCCTGCAGCCTGGCCTCACACAACTGCAAATCGAAACCAGGTCGGGTTTGAAAGGAGACCTATATCAGCTAGCCCCCGCCCCCGCGCCTCCGGCCTCATCCCACCGCGTTCCTTAGCTCTCCTCTTATCCCAGATGCCGTGGAATCTGAGTCAGGTTTGAACCCCGCTAGCTGTGTGCAAACAGGCGAGGGCGAGGTTTAGGGGCGCACAGGACTCGGACCCCAGAGGTGGCCACCGCCGCGCCGGACTTACCTGCCTGCGGCTCCCGTGAGATCTCAACGGGGCCACGGAGATGCTGTGAAGGTGCCGCAGGCTGTTGGCAGGGCAGGTAGGAGTCTTCTGGGGTTGCTGGCCTGGTGTAGGAGTAGGACAGGACGTGGCCAAACGGCCCAGAGTAGGACAGATCAGGGGAGACTGCGGTTGCGGGGGATAGGCCAAGCGGGTAGGCAGCCACCGCCGACCGGGCGGGGGCGAGGTCTGGGAAGACTGCTTTACAGGCGTCCCGGCCTGGAAGGGGGCAGGGCAAGGAGGTCATTGCGGCTGGTGCCCACGGCCTAAGCCACGGTCCAGTACGTGGTCAGCTCCCTGCACCAACCCTCTTTCCCGAGCCCCGGGCGTTGAGGCGGATAAGCCCCCAGCCCCGGCCAGCCACTTATACACTTAAGATCTCAGAGCAAGTGTCTTTCTGCGCCTCTTCCAGCTGAGTTTGCACCCGGAAAAGAGGTGGGGGGGGCGCTCCCATGGCTTTCCCCTCCTCCCTCCAAGTCCATGGGGCCCCCCTACCCTCGTGCGGGTTCGGATCCCAGGACCCGACTGAGCCCCCGCTCCTATTTTGACTCCCCGGATTGGCTGCCACGTGCGGTGACCTCACCGAGGCCTGCAGCTGGGACCCACCCTCTGGGGCAGCGCAAGCTCTGGGCGCTTCTGCCCCCGGGTCCGCTCCACGAACGGTGTCGGGGTTGCAAGGTGATTGGTGCAGTCAGGGGACCTCGGTAATAATGGCACATGTGCTAGAGAGTGGGTGACCCTGGGTTGCCCCCGGGCAAGGGGAGCCGCGCAGTGGGCCGAAGAGGCGGAGATGCAGGAATTTGCGTTCGTGCGGCCCGCGTTCCGAGCTGGTTTTGGTTCTGCCGCCTTGGACCTGCAGAGGAGTCAAGAACAGCCTGCCCGCGGTTTATTCAGCGCGTCGGAATGCGTAGCTGCCCGGCGCGCTGGCAGTTTGTTGGTAAACAGACGCCGGGCCGAGAAGGTGCTGCCCGGCCCCGCACGCGCGCGCCGCGCACGCCCCCGCGGGGCGCCCTCGGCCTGGCACGCCGCGACCGCCGCGACTGCGCCTCACCGCCCCCGTGCCGGCTTCCGCTTCCGGCAGGGGCCCGGGTGTGGTTGCGACACCGCAGCGGCTGCAGGAGAGATCTGCCGTCTGGGCTTTTGCCTGTACTGCACCCCGCCTTTCCTGGCGCCGCATGCGGCCGAATCCTGGCATGAGCCGGGAGGAGATCTGGGAGTGGGGTTGAACCCAATTTGGTGGCTCCTAAGAAGGCACAGGAAATACGGCAGGGGGGTGCCCCTGGCTTCGTTTCCCGGGGCTGTTTGCTGGACTGGCCTCTAAACATTAGCACCCAAGGACTGGGCGGACACGTCCACATATCCAAGCATCTATCGCCAAATGTGCCCAACTGGGCAGGGACTCCATTCAAATACAGCGTGTTTGTTCGCATAGCAATGTACAGGTGTCTACACAGATGTGCACAGTAGCATCCCTCCGTGAAAGGAGAAGCTTCCTTATGGATCTACAAACAGTTTAGGCTGTGATGTATACACCTCTACATACCCAAGATGAAGTCAATCCCTGCATAAAAGCAAGGAACAGGTCTCTCACAGAGACCCATGAGTACACAAGTCCAATTGCTTGTGTGAATATTCAAAATCACAGAAACGCCAAGCATAGCGTTTGTGTACATGTACCTACCCTTTGAGAGACACCTGTCCACACATACATGAGCTGCTCCAAGTTAGGGAAAAGTGTGCCACCTCCAAACCCAGCAATCTGAACAGATTGTCCAACACTCTGCATACCTTCTCCCACTGTGTGCAAGTTGGCAGGCATTTTTTTGTACACACACACACACACACACACACACCCGTGTGCTCTCATGATGAAGGCTCAGAGTGAAGGTAGCAGCATTGAGGGATGGGAGAAGACAACTGTCAGAGAAGGAAGGCAGCCTGGAAGAGAACATAAAAGATTTGAGGGTGGCCATGCCCATGCTCCTTGGAGGGACAGAAAATCAAGTGTCCCACAGGGCTGCGGGAGAGCAGTGTACTTCAAACCACACCCCCCACCATGGATAGAAATGAGTTTTTCCAGGAAAACATTTCCCTATCACTTGCCTGGAGCTCTCTACCCTGAAGCCTTGGGCTTCTCCTTCCCCAGGAGGCCGGAGAACCCACTCCCTTCTCATCCAACAGGGTGTGAAGGCTTTGCTCAGTGAAGAAATGCTATTGCCGCGGGGGCACAGATGGCATCTCTGGATACATGGAAGATGTTCTTTGAGGTGGGGTTGGCAATCAGGAGGTTTCTCATAAAGGAGGTGCTTTTGGGCTGGGGTTTTGAGGATTATGGGGTTACTTCCTCCCAGGCCACACACCCAGAATGCAGAGTCCTTTCTGTGCCCAATTTAGCAAGGGCAAGGGTGGGTTGCCTGGCATGCCCTGCAGCAGTTGGCTTCAGGCATCCTTCAGAGCCAGGTGATCCACAGTGCTTCCCTCTCCTAGGCTCTCCTAGATGCACATGGGCTTTCTCTGAATCCTGCAGGGCCTTCACCCTGAGCCTCAGCAGGAAGTACCTCACCAGACACTCAGCATCCACGCCCTGTGCCTCTTTGCAAAAACCCTTCCAGGTAGGTTCTATTACTACCTCTCCCCTCCTCATCACACCTCCCTCCTCCCATACTCTGAAGGGTGTGGGGCTGGAGCACCTTGTTGGGAAACCTTGGGGTCTCCATAGATGCAGACTCCCCAGGGAAGGCGGAAGTGATGAGGACGAGGGCCAAGCAAGGCCATAACTGTGTGTCGGATCAGAATGGCGGGAGGGCTGGCCGGGGAGGCCTGAGGCCTGGGTTGCCCTCCCAGCTCATCTTCCGAGTTGCTGGCTGTGATGTTCTGGGTCAGCCATTTCCTGTCTCTAAGGCTACCAGAAGGAATAAAAGGGGGGAGCTTGCCCAAGATTCCAAGCTGTGGTCCTTTGCTCTGTGATGACTTGCAAAACCCCAAACCCCAAAACCAAAAACCTTCAAGGAGGAGGCGGAGGAAGAAGGGCGGAGGGAGGAGGGGGGAGGAAGGTTAGAGGAAGGAGGGAAGGAGGAGCGAGGAAGGGAATAGGGGAAAACAAAAGGAACTGACTCTCTCCTGTCACCACCGATGAGACTCACAGAGGCCAGCGGGGACATCCTGAGGTTTTCCCCACACAGACCTTCTGCCTAAATGAAAGGGATCGTGCTGGAGAACCCAGCATGAAGGCCACCCTGAGTGCAGAGGAGGGGTTCTAAGTTTTTTTGGGGGGGATAACATCACCACCTCGGGGAGTTGTTGATTTGCACTGTGGGCTATCCCCGTGTAGGCTATTCCCGAACCCCACCTTCACCTGGGTTCAATTCGCAGTGCAGAGTGGGGCAATAGCCACACAGGAATACCTCATGGAGCAGATCCTCTGCCGTTTTAAAATTTTTTATTTTGAGATAGGATCTTGCTAAGTTCCCCAGCCTGGGCTCAAACTCGAGATCCTCCTGCCTTCCCCAAAATGCTGGGATTACAGGCGTCCACCACCATGCCAGGCTTGGGCTCTTTGCTGGTCGACCGCAAACGCCGGCTTACCACATTGGGTAAAGTTCTCCGAGGCAGTATTAACCCTACATATTTCTCCCCTGAGGTTACTTTGAGCCCTGACCCTCAGGAACTCCGCCGGAACCAGCACCATCCTGGCAGCTCTGGCTGGCACCCGGAACACGCGAGGATGTGCAGGCATCTTGGTGAAGTTGCTGGGCTCCGTCGTTCTCACCTGGGCAGAGGGAGGCTCATGAACCTGGAATGGCGCGCCGCCCCGGGTACCCTGGACGGTAACCCCTCGCCCACGACTAGGTGCCTGCAGGGATCTGCCCACGGAAAAGGAGATGTGATCGCTGGCCCAGGCCTCGGAGCTGGGCAACCTCAACTGTCGTGGCATCATCCTCGCTTTTTTCTCCATCCCATTCACCAACCCAAAATGAAATTTTGGTTTTGTTTTACCTATTCTCAGTAGGTTTTAAATTTAACTGGGATTTTTCTTAGTAATTCGGTTTGAAGAGGCTGAATAATTCGGTTGCGCAGGGAGGAGGGCATGAAAGGAATCGAATCCTTCCCCTGGCCTCTGAGGGCCCCACATTCAGCGAGGCCTGGGAGGGCGCAGCTGGCAGAGGCCTGTGCGCCTCCCACGATCTGACTTTTCTTCACATTGGCACCCTTGGTTCTCTTCCTCTTTTTGATTGAACATGGAGTGAGCGCTGGCCAAGGCGGGGTTGCTGGCTGGTCCCGGAGGCCGCTGCCAGCCCCGCTGCGCGCTTCACCGCCCGTGCGCTCACCTCCAAGGAACCCCCTCTTGGAGCTCCCGCCCCATTTTCCGAATCCCTCTGCACTAGCTGCCCGAGGAGGGGAAGGGGAGAGGCCTTGCGGTCAGCGCCCCCAGGTGCCGGCCCTGCGCACTTGTGGGGGTCCCTATGAGGGTCTCGCTCTCCGCTTGTCTCAGCTTCCTAACTTGAGCCTCTGCTCCAGGAAATTTTTTCTGTTGGGGATTGAAGGTTACGTTTTAAGTGCACATGCATATAAAATCACCAAACACGTTAAAAGCAAAGGCACGACCAATTCTTTGACCAGGACATTCCGAACCTCAAAAGAAAACAGTTAATCAAAAGTGGGGCGGTTTGAAGATGAGTTAGGGGCTCCGCGCGTGGAGAGGTAGTCAGACGGCTGAACTTCGCCGCGGCGCACAAGCGGCGATGACCGGGAGTTGGGGCGCCTAGGCGGCCAGGTGTCCCAGCCAGTGTTCCACCAGTGGACCCGGCGGGGCGGGGAGGAGACCGCAGCACCCCGAGGCTGGTGCCCCCCGGCGATCGCTGCGAGCTAGTGGAGGCCCCAGCCAGACCCGCCTATAACGAATTCGCCCTGCCCAGAACGAAGGCTTTTGGGCTGGGCTCTCCAGACCTTCTAGGACCCTGACACGAAAATCAGGGCGCTCGGCCGACCTCCTCGCAGCTGGGTCTAAGGTGAAAGCTAAAGATAGGCGTGGTGGGATTTGGAAGGTGCGCGTAATCCGCAAAATCCAAGCTAGTGCCGGGTGTGGTGGCGCACGCCTGTAATCGCAGCATTCGGGAGACTGAGGCAGAAGGATCGCCTGAGTTCAAGGCCAGCCTGAACTACATAGAGAGTTTTTTTAAAAAAAAAAAAAAAAGGAAGGGAGAAAGAAAAAGAGAGAAAGAAAGGCAACCAAGCGAGTGTGTGCATGGGCGCCTGCAAAATCGCACATAGCACAGCAGGACACAGGCACACAGAAATGGACTCCCACTAACCTCAGCACACGCTCTGCTGGCAGCTGCACGACACCCGCAGCGTGCACACAGCCTCGTCACACACACAGCACACGCCTGCCGCTTGTGCACGCGCGAGGGCACACACCCACCCACCCCGGGATACTTGGATTTGGCGAAACGTCTCTGTGGATGGGGTTATCGGTTTCACTCCGATTCCCCAACCAAGACCCTTGGCGGTCTGGACTGGGGGTTTGTGCGAAGTCCTAATTTGGGCTGCGAAGTCCGGGAGGACAGCCTTTCCTCTGCCGCGCCGGGCCTGGGAGGATGGTGCCTGGCGATGCATCCCGTTCCTTTCTCTCAAAGTGAGAAAAAGAATCTCATTTTACAAAAACTCCGAGCGCAGGCTTTTCCCTCTTGCGCCCCTGCGCGCGGCTCCTGGCGTGGGGGAGGGTAGACGGATGTAGGGTGAGAGGCAGCTCCGTCCTCCCTCTTCCTTCTCTCCCTCCCTCCTCCCACCCCTTCCCCCACACGGCACGACCAGGGGTGGGGGCGGCTGGCCGAGGGGAGGGGCCCAGGCCCCTCGGCTTCCAGGGAAGGCGGTGCCTCCCGCACCCCTCTCAGCCCGCGCCCACCCCAGTCGTGCATCACCTTCATTGATTCCATCGTCGTCGTCATCGTCGGAAAAAGTCGAACTGGAAGTTCACCAACTGCTGCCGGAAGAGGCTGGTGGGGGCGGGGGGCGATAAGTGACCCGAGCCTGGGCTGAGGGCTGTTTGGTGGTCCAGGCCTCCCAGAAAAACAGAGAGCACAGTGCCCAGCCCGCAGGGCCCCTGTCCTGGAGGCTCCGCGGTGAGGACAGCGGGACACGGGGAGAAGTCCTCTGCACCCCAAATGCTGAGTGGCAGCACTAGCAGGGAGCGGGGCTGAGCCCATGCCCTACCACTAGTCAGCCCAGAGGATCACTGGCTGTCTAGCTTTCCCTGTAAAGGCTGGAGGGCCGCGTCCTGGTCCTCTGGGGGTCTGGACAGTGGAGGACCCAGCTGAAGCCACAGGTTCTGGAGACACCTCTGAGGTCTAAGGGATCTTCAGAAGCCTGTCCCAACACCCCAAAAGGGAGTGGGAGTGATCTGAGGCCGTGTGCCTTGGGTAACAGAATAAAAATAATAAAAGCTAACACTTCAGTGTTGTCAGTGTTCCTGGCACGATGCTAAGCCCTCACATGCATTCTTTTATTTAATCACCACAAGATTCTCCATGGTAGATATCAATATTATCCACACTTTCTGAGTAAGGAAATTGAAGCACAGAAAGCAAATAACTCATCTAGTTTTTTTTTTTGGTTTTTTCTCTGGTACCGGGAACCGAACTCACGACCTTGCGCTTGCCAGGCAGGCGCTTTGCCGCTGAGCTAAATCCCCAGCCCCAAATAACTCATCTAGAAGCCGGAAGTGGAACCTAGGACAGCCGGCCTTCCTAACCCCCTGTGGGTGCAGCTGTCTCAGGTGAAGTTCCATTCAGCAAGGGCAGGGAAAGGGCTGCGGAGGCGAAGGGACCCCAGGAGAGGACCGGCCTTCCAGGAAGGCAGGATGAGAAGAACTGCTGTTAAGAGTGACTGGTATTAATGTGGGCCTGTGCGCCAGACATGCTTTACAGGCACTGCCTTGTGGAAATCCTTGCACAATAGCTTGGAGGAAGTCCTGTTCTTATCCCCATTTCACAGGTACAGAGACTGAGGCACAGAAAAGCCATGTGGGGTCTTGTTCACCTGTCTGCGAGGTAAGAAATCTCAGGGAAGGAGCCAAAGGAGGATCAGGAGGCTTCATTGTGCAGGGTGTCAAACACCTCTCAAGAGTTTAGAATGGACTCCTGGGCAAGGGAGAAGCCAGATGGGAATGAGCTGGTGAAGGGAGATTGGTGTGCTGGAGCCCAGTGAGGAGGCAGTTGCAGTGGATGAAGTGAACAGTGAGGAGAAAGTGTCCAAGGGGGTGGCAGCAGAGGCAAGGGAAAGGAAGGCAGCCATAAGAAAAGCGGCCCAAAGACAACGCCTGGTGTGGTAGTGCCTGCCTGTCATCCCAGTACTCAGGAGGCTGAGGCAGGAAGATTGATCACCATGAGTTCAAGGCCAGACTGAACTACATAGCAAGGCCTTGTCTCAACAGACAAACAAAGAAGCAAGTAAGCCCTGTTGTGCCAGGAGAGTAGAAGAAGGAATGTCTGAAGTTCCTGGCCAGGGCCACCAGGGGAGCCCAAGGAAGACGCCATATATTTGCTTCAGAGGTTCAGGCCTTTGATGGGCACATGAGCCGCGGACAAGATTCTGGGTCGATCTTCCAGCGGGCAGCCAGCCACAGCTTCTGCACAGGTGTCCGCCCCCGCCCTGCCAGGCGCACAGGTGAAACTTGCATATATGCAGATGTATGCAGATGAGAGGAACCCAGCCTGGGCCCCGAGCCAACGAGGCAGGTCCTCCCCCACCTCCCTCCAGGGACAGGAGGGTGGGCCCCAGCCCTGACTCACCCGCTGACATGCCGCCTGGAATGCCACCTCCCCAGCTGGGCTTCCTCCAACTTGGGGAACTTGCTTCTGGAATCACCCTGAAGTCCAGCCCAGAACATCACAAGCTGGAGGACCCAGGCTGGGCTTGGAAGCGCTCTCTAAATCCAAATAAAGATTTATTCTGAGCCCTCCTGGCAAAGTCACTGCGGGTGGGGAAATGGTGGAATCAGGATGTATGCCTGGTAATAAGACATTTACAAGTATATGAGGGCCAGGCATCATTAGTGGCACACACCTGTAATCCCAGCACTCAGGAGGCTGAGGCAGGAGGATCGATGCCAGTTCGAGGCCAGCCTGAACTACATAGTGAGACCCTGTCTCCAACCCCCACACACCAAAAAAAAATATATACAAGGTACATGGCATTCCCCAAAGCATTCTGACATCCATGCCTACATAGGGGCCTCGTTTTAACTTGCGAGGTAGGTAGTTCACACCCCCCATTTTACAGATGAGGACACTGAGGCCCAGTTGAGACATGCCTGGCCAGGGAAAGCCTGATGCTCTGCACAGAACTGGCTTCCCAGTCCGGCTCTGACTCAGGGTTCTTTGCTTCACTCTGTGGTTTCATGCTGGGCTGAGGGGAGGAGGAGTGAATTCTGGAGTCTGGGGCTCACTTTTTCCCAGACAATCATAGGAAAGATGGTTTTAGTTCTCTCAGTGCCTGAGAACTTCAAAGAGAACATGAGCGCTTGTCCCTCCAGCTGAGACTGTGCCTGTGTGGCAGGACCATGCACCCCACTTCTGGCTCTTTCATTCTTTCGTAGCACTTGCGACTGTATAGGGTGCCCTGAGAGACTGGCCTAGAACCCACCCAGCAGTGAATTTGGCCATTTGTGTATATTAAAATTATGGGAAAAAACAGTGGGGGTTTTATTTTTGTTTTGGTTTGTTTTTTTCCAGTACCGGAAATCGAACTCACGACCTTGCACTTGCCAGGCAGACGCTGTGCCACTGAGCTAAACCCCAGCCCCTGTTTTTTGTTTTTTTATGCATACGTGAAAGCCAAGTGTGGTAATGCTTGTAATCCCAGCCCTTGGGAGGCTGAGGCAGGAGGATCAGAAGTTCAGGTCAGGCTACATAGCAAGACCCTGTCTCAAAAAAACAAAAACAGAATAACAGAAGCCAAAAGTAAACAAACCAAGAAGCATATGCACAGGGTTAAG